TGAACATAGACCAGTAGGCAGTCATTCAGCAGAGCAAGTTTAAAATTTAAAAATATGCTCATCAGGGTACATCCTTCTACTATATTTATTCAATCTGTATGCTGAGCGAATAATCTGAGAAGCTGGGCTATATGAAGAAGAATGTGGCATCAGGATTGGAGGAAGACTCATTATCCTGTGATACGCAGTTGACAAAACCTTGCTTACTGAAAGCAAAGAGGACTTAAAGCACTTACTGATGAAAATCAAAGGCTATAGTTTTCAGAATGGATTTACAACTCAATGTAAAGAAAACAGAAATCCTCACAACTGGACTAGTAATCATCCTGATAAGTAGAGAAATATCGAAGTTGTCAAGGATTTCATTATTTGGATCTCTAGTCAGCACCCATCGAAGCAGCAGTCCAGAATCAAATGATGTATTGCAATTGGCAATACATCTTTAAAGTGTTAGAAAGCAGAGATGTCACTTTAAGGACTAAGATGTGCCTGACCCTAGCCATTGAGTTTTCAGTCACCTCATAATTCTTGCAAAACCTGGACAATGAATAAGGAAGACCGAAGAAGAACTGATGCATTTGAATTATGGTGTTGGCAAAGAATGCTGAATACACCATGGAATGCCAGAAGAACAAACAAATCTGTCTTGGAAGAAAAACAGCCAGAATGTTCCTTATAAGTGAGGATGGTAAGACATCGTTTTACATACTTCTGACATGAGAGGCCAATTATGGTTGGTAAAGTAGGTCAATGAAAAAGAAGATCTTCAATGAAGTGAACTGACGCAGTGACTGCAGTGATGAGCTCAAACATAGCCAACAGCTGTGAGGATGGCACAAGACCATTTCATTCTTTTGTGCACGAGTTCACTGTTGTCAGAACTGACCCAGTGGCACCTGACAGCACCAAGTCACTTAGTGCTAATAAGTTTATTATTTCTTTGTTTATTTTCTATGCTTTTATTTATGCTAATTTCTGCCCAGAATATGCTTATCAAAATTCTATTCAGCATTCATGGTCCATCATCCTTCATCTTCATGTTGTGACTGCTGATTCTTTTATGCCATTATTATTCCTATTCTTCCTTCCAGTTTCCTACCTTCTTGTGGTCAGTGATCCTACCTGTTTACCTTTATTTTCTCACACTACCCGATTTAGCAAATGTTAGGCATTGTGCTAAGTACTGTTGAAATATAAAGATTAATATTGCATTCTAATAGCTAGCATTTATTGAGTGCTTTCTGTGTGTCAGGCATTATGCTGAGTAGTTTACTTATATTCCCTCCTTAATCCTCCAACCTTATGAGGGTAAGTACCAGTTTCATGTACATTTTTTTTTAAGTTTTATTTATTTTTTTGTTGAGAATCTACACAAAACATACACCAAGTCAACATTTTCTACATGTACAGTTTAGTGACGTTGAGTTCATTCATTCATTGAGTACTGCCTTACTTCCACTGTACAGTCAAACTACCAGGTGCCATCTAAGTGATTCCTACTCATGGCAGTCGCACGTGTGTCAGAGTAGAACTGTGCTCCACAAGTTTTCAATGGCTGATTTTTCAGAGGTGGATCACCAGGCCATTCTTTCAAGGCACTTCTGGGTGAGCTGGAGCTGCCAACCTTTCAGTTTGCAGCCGAGCACAGTATCGGTTTGCACTACCCAGGGACACTGTGCAGGTAGCGTTTACTTTTCTCTGGAGGAAGAACCTCTGCTTTATGTTTCCTACCCTGGCCGAGATATTTCAACAAACAGATGCCCCATTGGAGGCACTCACTCAGTTATGCCAAGAGATTTGGAGGACAGCTACCTGGCCAACTGACTGGAAGA